TACACATCGTTGACGGGGTTTACTAGATTTTTTTTTTACATTTTTTGGGGGCTTTCCACCACAGGGGCTCGCTTTCCTTACAGAATTTCTCCCGCAAGGTGTAGGGTCTCAACTTCATAGCTCACTTTACAATAAATTTATCGGGATGATGCGTGGCTTTTGAATCGCGCAGAATCACACTATATAGTAGAGGTTCGATAACTATAAATCACATTTACTATCCCAGAACTTTGTTTTTATTCATTTAAAGACACTTATCTAGCACCACCCACCATTTTCACCAGCCCAAGTCATTGGAAAACACAAAAATTCCCCTTGGAACTGGTCCGGGCCTGCTCCGGTGGGAAATTTAAAGGATAGTGACAAATAAAAATTCCCCGTGACCAAAATTTCCGTTTTTTCCAAATCCTGTCAGAACCCGATGCTGAAGGAACTTTGTGGACTACTTTGTCAGGCATACTATTGTAGGTGCAAACACTGGGAAAAAAACCACATTGGATCTAGAGTCCAGACTCTTGAAAACATTGACAAGAAAAACTGCTCTTGATTCAATCGGATTTTTGCTTGAATCAAAACGGAATCCGCTTAAATTAAGAGTCTCGGTTCTTGATTTAAACTAGATTCTGATTGAATCAAGAGTACTTTTTCTTGTCGATGTTTTTTTAGAGTCTGGACTCTAGATCCAATGTGTTTTTTTTCCCGGTGACATACGAAAATTACGAGCATTCTTATGAGCTGTCGGGTCTAGTTACTGGGGGTTAGCTTGAACAGCCCCTGTTCGAGAAGTTCGAGGTATGGGGCGAGAGAGAGAGTTGGCGTTCAATCGGGCAACGCACACGAGAAACCGTTTTAGTTTCATCAATTACGTGTCGGGGCAGACTGCGCGGGGCCGCCCTTCGCGCGCCAACCCCACATTCCCGTGCACAAAATACCTTACAAGGGTTGTTTTATATGTTCGACATACGTTTATTAGTATTAAGATTAATGATGGCTGTTCGCTAATAAACCCGGGCGCGGCCTCGCTAGGCTGTGTCAGCCTGTCCAACTAAAGCTGCGGTGTTGAAAGCTTCGAGTCGCAGACATCAGTAGCGTCATTTAAGCAAAAGCTCGTGGCGCAGGGGGACTGTTGTGGGGAGGCAACATTTCCTCCGGGGGGGGGGGGGGGGGTGAAACTTCCTATGATCTTGTAAATTTCTTCAAAATTGATTAGAATTGACTAAAATTTATTCTGTTCAAAGTCTTTAGTATATTCCCGAGAAAAACATATCGACGGTGTACGTCGGCAATCACATAACTCGTTTGCGGTGTCTGAAAATCTCCGCCTCTATGTTATTTTCATAAAGGAGAACAAACTGACATCATTCCTTGAAATTTTTGCAGAATTTTCTTTGCACAGAGAAGCAAAATCACGGCAGTTTTAAAGAATTGCCGTTGAGTAGTTTTCCGTTAAAAAAATAAAGTATGACAGGAAATCTGCGACGTCGCAAATCGAGTCATGTGATTGCCGACTTACACCGTCGATATTTAATATTCCATTAAAGAAAACTCATAGTTGAAAACATCCTTTTGTCGAACCAAAGAGAAACAATGCCAAAGGGCTACTAAGTACTCTCGCGGAGGTACTTAACTAGGGAATCTGATGAATTTAAAAAGAGAGTACACGAATAAAAATACCTAATAATAATAAAAATAACCAGGATGAGTCGAGGCTCATATTTTTTCAGCACTGATGCAGGACCGTAATTGTGACGTGATGGTATACGATTAAAGGAATATTATGTGTTTAAATGATTGTATCTGAGGAAGCAAAATTTTGCTGGAAAAAAATAAATAAAATTTGATTCTGTTTCTTCCTTTCAATCCTATCACGGAAAATCTACGAACATTTAGAACGGAAACATTTAATGGATACATTTCACGGCAAAAAAAAAAAAAAAAAAAAAAAAAAAAAAAAAAAAAAAAAAAAAAAAAAAAAAATCATTGGGAAACCCTTCAAAACCTGGCGATTTCATAATTATTGGAGACAACAATGAAAATCAAAATTGACGATAAGACTGCAAAAACGCGTAAATCGTTTGCGATGTTTCAAAATTTCTTCTGCAATTCCATTTTATCAAAAGAGAAAGTAGTCATTTTATTGCTTGAAATCACAGAAAATCCATCACTTAGAGAAGAAAAAATCAAGGTGAGGACTTTCAAAAGTCGCCACTGCTGCATGCCGTTCCACAAGCTGATTAAGTATTTACCGTAGGCCTGTCCCTATATTTTAAAATATTATCTTGCTTGTTTAAAGAAACGAAAGTGTGCGAAAATAAAGAAAACATCGTAATGTTGTGTAACGAGTGAGAAACAGGGATTGTCATGGGACCGGTTCATGGAGCCGTGCAGTCCGTCAAATCTTCTTCTTATATACTTACTTCTTCTTCGTGTATACAACGAATTCGCTATCGGGAACCGTCTGACTAGTCTATGAGGGATGACGTCACTATTCGACCACGCGGGAGCACGTGTTGCCTACACTAAAAATTGAGGGCAAAGTTACCTTTTTCCGCGGTTTAGTGAAAAGCCTGCTTTATTCAAGCGAGCCCGAGTGAGCGTATCAATTCAGTGATACCACTATTCGACCACGTGGGAGCTCGTGTTGCCTACACTAAAAGTTGAAGGCAAACTGAAATGCGGCCTTGAAGTGTTTAAACTCTATATCGGATTGATGGGAAGCCATTTTCCGTGTGTGTTGCGAACATTATTCCATTTTTTTCTCATCTCTTGTTTCTATTATCTTCTTCTTTTCACTCATTTCAGCTTTCTTTACTCTTCTTTTTCTTTCTCCATTCTTAATCTTTATCTTCTCCATTCTCCCTCCTTCGTTTTATGTAGCTCTTTTCTTCATCATCTTCCTATTTCTCTCTATTCTTCATCTTCTCCTTCTTGCCCACTTTTTAAGTATTCTATTACCACTCTTTTTTTCTTTCAATCCTCGAAAGTCATTCTAGTTTTTTACTACTACCATCCGAATTGGTCCTTTTTTTGTAACAAACTACGAACCTTTAACTTAGCTACAAAGGTATTAATGGCCATATTTGCTAATAAGGCACCGCTGTAAAATAGGTAAGCGAATGTTACAACTACTACTCTCATCTTCTTCTTCCTTTTTTCCTTCCTTCTCTGTACTTCTCCCCCTCCTCCTTCATTTTTTATTCTAGGTACTTCCCCACCCCCTCTTCATCTCTATCTCTTTTTCTTCTTCTTGCCCTATCTTTCATCGATTTGCATTTTTTCCATCTTCCTCTTGCTTTTGTTGTTCATCTTTCTTCGTGCTAGACGTCTCTTATTCAATCGAGTTCGCCTTCAATGAGCACGATGGCAATTAGAGCGACTTAGGAGCACGAATAGTTGCGCGCAGTTGTTTTCTCACTATGACTCTGTCCCTACGACGAACACACGTATAATTCTCTTCGCTGCGTGCAGAGGAGGAGCCAATGAGTGGCAACACTGGTTTTTCTCTGTTGAAACCTGTGTGGAATGACGGATTCGTGTAGGAGCAGGAGACTCAATTCAATTCCATAGTTTTAATTGGAGAAAAAATTTCGTTACCAACTTGCTGAATCCGCCACTTTGGCTGCGTCTCTCTCATTCCGTTGAGTTCGCCTTCAATAGCTGTGATGGCAGAACGAGTGGCTTGGGGACACGAATAGTTGTGCGCATGGGCAATAGTGACTTTACTTCCGCTTGGTCCCGGCATGGAGAATTGGAATATGACAATGCCATGAGAGCAAAAATTAATACGTCTTACATCAGCTGAGTTCTTTTTAGATTTTTCATGCACTGCGAATGAATTATTTTCTTTCCAAACATACCTTTATCCCTACGAGGAGCAAACTCATGGGCGGAAATAGGGGGGGGGACCCGCCCCCCACAATTTTGGTTGGCCTCTTCCAAAAAATTTCAAGGACCCGTACTAATTAGTTTTGAGATAAAAGGCATAGGGAATGTAATGAATATGAGATTAATCCTAATATAATCGATCAAAGATGTCAGAAGATCAAAATTTCTCTTAAAGAGAGCAGCTTCCTCCGATTAAGGAACGTATTTAATTTGTCATTGAGAATAGCATAAAACTGCTCTCGAAACGTTCCAATTTTCCAACATTATCCGGGAAGGGCCCCCCCCCCTCCC